AAAAATGGCCTGAAAATATCTGTTTGCCCGGTAAGAATTGTTGAGCCACTCCGCCCCTGTCTATACCTAAAAAACCTATGGAAACAAAAATATCAAAATTCAAGATAATATTAAACATCAACTGTATAAATTTGAACCACTGTATAGTAGTGTATATTATAGTAGTCTCAACCTGTATGCCGTGACATACTAGTGTGTTACGTATTTCCACAGTATGTATCGCCAAAATATTATATCATATATATATTTATAAATTACGTCATAGGATATTATTTCAGCATTAGGATGAAAGAGTAAAAACCATAAATTATTTAACATCATACATGTGTGAAACAGCAATTTTGACATTAAAAATAAAAAAAAACCATAAAAAGGTTTACCCTTAAAGATATCAAAAATAAACTACGCCCCCAAAAAGCGAAGACCTAAGTTCAGTTCCTCACAAATTTCAGCCTAACTTCCTTTATGTTTATAATTATTATATAATATATTTTTTTTTTTTTATATTACTTTCATTGAATCATTTAAATCTTAGTTAAGTAAATTACATTTTTTTACTAAAATGCTAACATATAATTTATGTATTAATTTACAAAAGTTTGTAATTTTTACTTTTTCAAAAATCTATTACTTAAAGTGTGTCACAAATTGTATGGATCTAAATTAGGGTGTCACCATCCAAAAGAGGCTGAGAACCACTGTAGTAAACCATTAACTTAAACAAAAAAATCTTACCTCAATACACTCATTCTTTTTTTATCAAATACTTTTACACCTTTAAGATTTTAAAACAAAAACTGGGGTGTAGATATTAGATTCATGTTAAAAGATATTTTTATTTTTTTATTTATGTTTAAGAAATTGACCTCAATGGAATATTATTCTATTTTATTTTTTTCAAGGACTGATATCCATGTAACTGCTCTAGTTCTAAAAAAAAAAGGTTTTTTCTAATAAATGTGTTTAATATGATGTAATTTAATGGTTTTTTTTATTTTGTAGTTGTACAAAAAATGTTTTAACCAAAATAGGTTATTATTATTCAGTTTGCTTTTATTTTATTTGATTCCGTGTGTTCTTTGAAATGATGAATTACCATCAAATGGACTATCAAGTTATCCAACTGATGATGAATTGGATATCAGTCAGGGAACACTTTTTATAAATAATAATTTGAAAAACTAGGTAACGGATTTGAATGCAAATTGCATTTTTTTTTTAATATCAGAAAACATTGATTTCCAAGCACAAAGTTCATTTCATACATCGGGTTATTAAAAAATGTGACTTATATTTTGTATTTTTAAAGCATTTTTATGTTTTAAGTCATTTTTGTATAGCTATGAATAAAATTCAATAAAAATAAATATTTACTATCTTTTTACCGATCAGATAAACCCAGACTTCAGACAAAATTATTGTTGACAGTTAGGCAAAGATAAGATAAGCTATTCATTTAAATTGTAATTTTTTATTGTACTCTTAAATTAGCTAAATACAAAATTGTGATTTTATTGAATTTAAAAAAATTTTAAAAGTTTTTTAGGAAATTTTTCTTATTTTTTATGAMATTAAAGTCAATTCTCTAATGAAAACCATATCATTATCATGTCATCTCCTAGTGCACCACCTTCTTTAGCAGGTTTGCGATCGGATGGATCAAGAGCAATCAGATAGTCCATCTAATTTTTTTAATTATTCAAAGAACCCTGAAAAACATTAGACTAACATGATAACTGATAAGTAATCAAGTTTATTATGGAACATGCAGATTGTTACTATGTATTTTGGTGAGTTAAATATTTTGTTTTAAGGACTTCAATTTAAAATTATTATATTTTGTTAGTTGTACTTATTTTTAACTCATATTAAAACAGAATATTTTTATCTAGTAGATAATTTAATAAAATTTAAGAATTTTTAGTTGACATGAATGATACATTTTCAAATAATATTAAACATATTAATTAGAAATATTGAGTTATTTATGAAATATCATTGTAAGGGAGGGTGTAAGGAACTTATGAAAATAATTGAAAAGACACTAAGCCTAATACCTATACATACTCAATTATCCTAAATAGGTAAATCTAAAAAAGTAATACATATATTTTATATACTTACTGATGTATATATGTAAAAATTTTAATTATATTATCAACAAAGAAATATTATATTAATAATTTTTGTGAAGAGATTTAAATATGTTATTAAATATTCATATTAACATAATTATTATTATAATTTATAAGAATATTATATCCTTATTTTAATTTCATAATACTTATATGTAATGGGATATTATCTAAATATATTATATAAAATGTAAACTATGAATAAAAATACTGTAAATGGTTTATATCATGTCTAAATAAAATGTAGATTGTAAGCAATTAGAACTATATCAAACATTTAAGTGTATATATCATGAAAATTGCAAATATTTCTGTCTTACAGACATAAATATTACTTTTGGGGACAAAGAACGACATTCTATTTATTCTTTATATACGACATACATAGGAAGCCTGGATTCCATAATCAGATGTATCATAGCCACAAAGACCTAAACATCTTCACGCCACTCAACCTCACGAACACACACACTATTATAATTTTAATTTAAAATAAAATTAGGGTTGCCATAATTTCATCAAACAAAACCGGGA